ATAATATCAGTGGGCTAGATAAAAAAACTGGCTTAATCTTTAGGATATGTTTACAATTTGCCGATATCTCTTACTCATAGAGGGTCCGCTAATGAATCTAAAGTTAAATTTGCAAATTTCAAAATGGCGGATCCAATATGGCGGACGAATTTATAATCTTTATGAAACTTGGTCAGTTGTAAATTGGTTGGAAATTATTATCGGATATTCGATGGAAGGAGTTTTTCTTTAAAGGGACTTTGCATTTTTTGACGATTGTTTTTTTTGTGAGAGATGTTTGGGGAAAAAGAAGATTGAATGAAGTGGTTCACCGACAGTAGAATAGATCTAACGGGACTGAATTTCATTGGGAGGAGGCCAAGTTTAAGTTTTGAACTGCAAGTAACGAATTTAATCAACTGAACTACGGAAATTATTACTTACTCTTTTGAGATCTACTTAAGGGGTTGCACTCTTACGTTACCCTGAACGCATGAAAATCGGATTCCACTTGAAATTTTGTCAACTTACTAATTAATCAGCAATTCCTGAGCCATAATACTCTTCTCCTAGAATGGAAAGAATGTCGTCCGATTCCTTTTGTTGAGCTCTTTTTAATTTTCTGGACTCCTTTGTCGTCGCCTGCGCTCTCAGGTTGGCGATGGATACTCGGCGTTGGTCAACTTCTTCGCACATTCGCTGTGAATTTGGTCGGATTTTTAAATTCTAAATACTTTGATACCACGTTGATCAAACTAAAAAGAGAAATCATCCAGTCCTTGCACTGAGTTCAGAAAATAAATCATTAAACTTACTTTGGTATTTCGATATCAAAAGAGAAATATCCTTATGCCGCTTAAGAGGAGGTCCGCTCAGGGCAGAAGTCGAGACAAGAATGAGCGCCAGCTCACCTGCCGGCGACTTTTATACAAGGGTTTTGGTAATTGGAAGAAAGAGAGGGGAGTAATGTTGTCTCCTCAGGTAACGAATGTTAAATCTCCAGCCAAAAAAAATTAGTTGTTTTTCTATTAGGATTACACAAACATAAAAAGATTTTCGGTTTTCCCAAAAAGAGAAAAGGTAACAGAATCAATGAGTGATGAGTATAAACGTAGAATGAAATGAACGTCAATCGTAAAAAAGCAATAACCATCACAAATAGAGTGATAGAGGCGAGACTATTGATGTCTATCATCAATGGCGCATTGCCATTAGATCGAAGCGTCACCTGCAGTGTGTTTTCAGTCAACAGAATCCCCCTTTCGATGCTCGATCAGACTATTGGACAGAAATGCAAAGCTATTATAGCGTGGCCAAGTAATCGATCGCAGGTAGACCACGGGCACGACGTCCTAACTGCCAGACGCACTCTAAACACAAGCGTCGTCGTGCCAAACCCTCGCTGAACATAGAATGGTGGCTAAAGTGGATTACATATTGCTGTTCTGCTTTCGAGCCGCCACACTCTCAACCCCCTGCCCACTACTACTACTACTGCTAGCCTTTGGGTAAATCGAATCATTGCTAACGCAAACAAAGTTACCCCCTTGTCTCGTGTAGCCCATTTATTCCGACATCATCTACTCTGATTATGACGAGACAATGCATGCGGCTGTTACACCAACAAATAACATTTACCAATGGGCCAATCATCATTTTCCAACATTGTGATATTTCTAATCTCTTATGTCTCGTTTTCGAATAACATCATGCTTTACTATAATGATCAGATAAATCTTGAGGTTATTGTGACAATAAATATCATTTACAATTAGTTCAGTTATTATTTACCGAAATTGACTACCTCTTTATTCATGACTTTGGAATCAATTTCCCTTCAATTTTAAATTCAATCGGCTGAATTTTGAATTCCAAATTCCATTGACGTTTTTTACTAAAAATACAACGGTAATTAATTTGTTTCACTTTTTGTGTAAGGGCTAGGCTATGCGAAATAAATTTAACTAGAATAAAACTATTTTCAAACACTTATAAAAACCTTCTGTTGTTGGTCACATTTTCGACAGGGCATAAGAGAACAAAAAAAAAAACAAAAAACTGTTCTACAATTTTGTGAACATAAATTTACAACTAGAAAATTTCTGTTCGTAAATACAACATGTAACTTAGAGGGGATTCTACCCTCTCTAATGTAAATCAGAAAAAAAAAATCTCTTGACCTTCTATTCCCCTAACATCTCATTCAAGATTCCCCTGCTTACAATCAGATTCTTCTCTTCTATGATAAGGTTTCTACCCTAACAATTATAACAAGCTTTGTACAATTCCGATTTTTATTGGCCATTCCCCTATAACTTGATTTTTAGATTATAAATTATTAACAGCAAAAGAGGAGTACAAAAATTTGTGAAATTGCAGTTTTAGGGATTAAATTAAAACCATTTGTGTTAGAGGGAAATTAATGTGCATTTTTCCAAACAAAAGTCAATCCTAGAAAGACATATTAAAGGTGTGGTTGAGCATAAAATCAGTTTACTACTAGGTGCGGTTTGCTGTTTAATAATTTAAACCCCTTTTGTTCAAAGATTTCAGGGAATCATTACTGCAGATATTCAACTGAATGGTTAATGAGAAGTAATTATTTATTGAAAATTTAATATTAAATGATAATCCAACTTATAAATGCAAACATTAATATTTGAAATCTTTCTATAAATGAAGCAAATTGCGGAAGAAGAGATTTGAAATGGATTTTTAAATTTGAAAAACTGAACTTTTAAAATATTTAATCGTATTCTGGTGAAAAAAAAAATTGTTTTTGGGACATAAACGGTCAAAAATATGTTTCTAATATGTCACTAAATATGTCACTAAACTAAGATGAAACAAAAATTTTTCAAAATTGACAAATTTGTATAAAAAAGTTTGGTTTTTCTAAAAATTAGACAATTTTCAAAATTCAGGTGAATTTTGAAAGCTAAAGAGATTCAATTTAAGAGAAAATAATTCAAATTTGATTTAATGTAAAAAAAATATTAGTATTTGAACAGATGAAGATAAATCGAAAATTTATCAAAATTGACAATTTTCATAAATTAATCTAGTTTCTCCAAAAATTATTTAATGTTTATAATTCTGGTGAATTTTGAAAGCTAAAGAGATTCACGTTCATAGAAAACAATTCAAATTTGATTTATTGATAAAAAACAAAAATATTTGAACAGATGAAAATAAATCGAAAATTTCTCAAAATTGACATTTTTCATAAATTAATCTAGTTTCTCCAAATATTATTTAATTTTCATAATTCTGGTGAATTTTGAAAGCTGAAGAGATGGACTTTAAGATAAAATTATTCAAATTTGATTTATTGAAAAAAACATAAATATTTGAACAGATGAAAATAAATCGAAAATTTCTCAAAATTGACATTTTTCATAAATTAATCTAGTTTCTCCAAATATTATTTAATTTTCATAATTCTGGTGAATTTTGAAAGCTGAAGAGATGGACTTTAAGATAAAATTATTTAAATTTGATTTATTGAAAAAAACATAAATATTTAAACAGATGAAAATGAAACAAAAATTTTTTAAAATTGACAATATTTATAAAAAAAATTTGGTTTCTCTAAAAATTGATCAATTTTTAGAATTTCAGTGAATTATAAAAGCTAAATAGATGCACTTTATGAGAAAATTACTCAGATTTGATTTATTAGAAAAAACATAATTATTTGAACAGATAAAAATAAATCAAAAATTTCTCAAAATTGACCATTTTTATAAACTAATCTATTTTTTTTTAAAAATTATTCAATTTTCAGAATTCTGGTGAATTTTGAAAGCTAAAGAGATGCACTTTACGATAAACTTATTCAAATTTAATTTATCGCAAAAGATAAAATTATTTGAACACATGAAAATGGATCAAGAATTTCTCAAAATTGACAATTTTTATAAACTAATCTATTTTTTCTAAAAATTATTCAATTTTCAGAATTCTGGTGAATTTTGAAAGCTAAAGAGATGCACTTTACGATAAACTTATTCAAATTTAATTTATTACAAAAGATAAAATTATTTGAACAGATGAAAATGGGTCAAAAATTTCTCAAAATTGACCATTTTTATAAAGAAATCTAGTTTCTCTAAAAATTATTTAATTTTCAGTATTCTAGTGAATTTTGAAAGCTAAAGAGATGCACTTTAAGAGAAAATTATTCAAATTTGATGTATTGCAAAAGATAAAATTATTTGAACAAATGAAAATGAAACAACATTTTTTCCAAATTTATACACTCTGTGTTTTGGTTTTAAATTGCAGTGACGCTTCGGATTTGATAGCGTCTAGGAATTTTCTATAACAATAATGTAAAATCTTAATTATTAATTAATTTCCAATCTTAATTTTTTTCAATCAAGTAGTACTAGCCGCGTTGAAGAACTGAAATCAACTGTCAGATTGATAAAATGAACAACGCATTTTACTGCCAACTAGTTAGCATTATTTTTTTTAAAATTTGGACCTCTAAATTGACGTCGATTAAATTTATTTGATTTTCATATTGCAGTTCATGCGTGAATTGTAAATTGTTGTCATTAAATGTTATCATAACTAAATCAGTGCTGTCCTTGTGAATGCAAATAATCGAATTATCAATATATCTACAGCAGAATAAATGGAACACGGTTATATTCTGTTTTTAAAATGTTAAAACACTCGCACTCCAAAACCATTTATTAAAGTGTCAACTGAAATTGGTAAAGTGGGACTGAGTTCCCATTAGTGGGCAATCGATTCCAAAAGTAAATATTCAAAAATTAATCTGATTAGTGATTTTTAAAAGAAAAAATCTTTGAGAAAGTTGTCATAATTTTTAGACATAAAAAAAAATAGTTGCAACATTAAAAACAATAAGTTACTACATTTTTTAATTTGTCCCGACAACCTCCCTAACATAATTCTCATTTAATTACAACCTTATTGTAGCATTAAAAATTATCTCTTTTACTTGCAGTCAAATGAAATTAAAATACCGTTAATTTTTCTGCTTACAGTTTCAAAAGCGAGTTGGGAAGAATGGTGGACGTATGATGGAATTTCAGGTAAGTACATCAGTTACTAGTGTAAGCAAGTAAAGACTATTATGAAGTTGCAAGCTTCTCTCTATACACACACAGAGAGAGAGGATATCTAATTTTTTATAATCCAAAGTTACGAGGTTATCGCGCTCCCGTAATATGAGCGAATTTTTTAATCTTGAGTTTAGTCCGCAATTTTTATTAAAAACAAGAACCCGCCTCGATAAAGTCAGACAGTGTGTTGGTAGGTGGGGGATTCCAGAGTTTTATCGCTGGTTATGTCGAGCCATGTGAGCCAGCTGCCAGGCGCAGAGTCGAATCATACATTTTCAAATCTCTACCTCAAGATAAATAAAGCTGATCGTCTTTTTTGTAAAAAAAAAAAAAATTTGTTACTATATTTAATTTTTTTTTTCGAATAATTTTCCATCAAGAACATTTAATTTTCAATACCTGAATATATAGATATGGGTGAAATTTTTTTTTTAAATTCTATTGGAGGGAATATTCATCATTTTATTAAATTATCGATAAAGTAGTTGTATTGTGACTTTATTTTTTGTCAGCTTTGGAATTACGCGACGAAGCACTTCTATCTGTTCTTTGGGGAAGTCTTCTATGGTTTTATTGAAACTACTTTATTTTGACAAGAACTGTTTGAGACGCGACTTAGTGGGATATCTTGTTCCACACTTTGAACTACTTTTGGCACAAAAAGTGTAGGCACCTGCCTTTGACGGCTTATAACTGATGTAAAAAGAGTCGCGCGATATTGAGACAACTTAAGATTGGTAGTTGTAACATTTTTACGTTAAAGTAGATATTTTTATCAACTTGCATTTTTTCTATAAATTATTACAAAGAAAAATCTTTTCTCTATTATTAAACTCTTTAAACTTTAAGTAATAAAAGTCTTTAAACTTCACAGGATAACGGTAAAAGCGGTGGGATTTTTTTTGCTGTTTTACGAATTTTTCGTTATAAAGGTGGCAGCGGTGGGACTTTTTGCTTTTTTACGAATTTTTCGTTTCCCTGGGTTTTTAAAACTTCTATAAATAATTTGCGAGAGCTCTGGCTTACATTGGTTTAGATTTACTCATCAAAACAACTAAAAGGTGTCAGCGGTGGGACTTTTGAATTTTTCGTTATAACGGTGGCAGCGGTGGGACTTTTTGCTTTTTTACGAATTTTTCGTTTCCCTGGGTTTTTAAAACTTCTATAAATAATTTGCGAGAGCTCTGGCTTACATTGGTTTAGATTTACTCATCAAAACAACTAAAAGGTGTCAGCGGTGGGACTTTTGAATTTTTCGTTATAACGGTGGCAGCGGTGGGACTTTTTGCTGTTTTACGAATTTTTTGTTTCTCTGGGATTTTAAAACTTCTTTAAAGAATTTGCGACAGCTCTGGCTAATATTGGTTTAGACTTACTCATCAAAACAACTAAAAGATGTCAGCGGTAATACTAAAAGGTGTTGTTGTAATACAATCCAAATCTCAGATATTTGATAAAGGAAATTAACTTAATAATACAAAAATTAATTTTCAATTGGTGATTTAAGTAAATTTCGATAAAAAAAGATAGGAAGCCACTTGCAAAAACACCCTTAAACGCAAACCATTGAAAAGATCTTATTAGAGAGGCGAGACAGTTGAAGGGTTCTGAATATAATGGTAACAGGCACGTGGCGTCTAGTGTCTGCAGGTACCTTCCCATTCAACATAGGATTAAAGGGATAACAATAGCAGCACGTGTCTATAGGCGAAATATTTCCCCTACTCTGTTTAGAGTAGAAATTAAATTATAGCTCGATGAATTAAAAATACTGATTGAATAAGAAAAATCGATTTTACAATAATTTTGTAACGAATACTATTTTTAATAATAACCTACATATTTCCTAACATTTTATTTTATTAAAGCGTCAAAATTTTCTACAATTTATATTTTTAATTTATTCATAAATTTTTTTTACACCATTTCTTATTTAGATCGAATCTTTATAAAGCTTATATTAAAGTTTTACTGTTAAATAAGAAATAATTTTTAGAAAAGTTTTTTATTATTTGGGAAACTTTTATTTTTACTTACATCCTCTTTAGAACTTCTATTTTGGTTTTAACTCTAGATTTTTAGGTTACATTCATAAATGAAGAACATTTAGAAATTAAATCCGTTTACTATTTATGATGCGCACTGTAATTCTTGCTATGAATAACTTGATTCAATAATTGGTTTAAACATTTCTGATATTTTAATTATTAAATCTTGGGCTAATATCATTTGCTGGAGGAAAATTGACACTCGAGTTTTATCTGCTAGTGCGGAGAAGACCCTACAAATTAAAGAAGTGGAATAAACATGCAAATGCTGGCCACTTTCCACCTTTATCACTTCGCACTGAATACGAGTGTGCCAACTTAAGTCTCTGTGGTACAAATGACTTCGTTCTGAGGAGATTTTTCCACTTCAACTCCCACGGAATAACTAGCTACTTTCGTTTCAAGATATTCTCAGCTTCTCGAGGCTATACTCCAGATTAGCTAAAATTTTAAATTCCAAAAAAAAATTGAAAAAAAACCTCAATGGTATTTAATATTAATTTATATTTACATTCTGGTGTTGATTATAATAATAATTATGAAACTCAAAAGTAATTAAAATGAGGTTTTCCTCTGTGATGTATTTTCCAATTTTACGATCGATCTGTATCCACTTTGCTGTACATTATTATTCCAAAGGCGAGTGCATTACCGGCCTAGCTCCACAATTAACTGAACTAATTAACAAATTTACAATAGCGGTGGGAGTAGGTCGCCGGCTTAAATCCGCAAAACGAGACACCGTTATCGCGATGACAAGGCGATTTCTAGATTGTAACAGCGTCAGTATCCGAATTTACTGTCAGCCGGATTTAATTGGCAATTCGAGTCTATTTTAACTGTCGAATTGTTCCTGTTGTTTATAATTTGCACGGAGGCGTAGATCTACGTAAAATTAATCGGCTTTCGATTCAGTGTAATTGTCACTCGCGCATCGCCTCAATATCGGTTTATACAGACAACTGGGATAGCTTTCATTTAACTACAGATCTACTCTCTTTCAACCATTACATTCAGTTGAATGTTGCCCTCAAAATATACTGTATATACAAACAATGTATATAAATATCAATTCCACTTTCGTTGTTATGGCGAATCCTTTTCTTTTAAATAAAAATTAAGATAAAGTCTTGAAACATTTGGGAATGATCAATTACTGTTTAATAACTAATGAATGTTTAATAGTAGATATAAAAAGCGAGAACTCAATTTACCAGCTCACAATTTTTACCGCGAAAAACACAAAAGCTACCACAACTCTTGTACGGCTACAAAGAAGGGAGACCTTCTGATTAAAATCGGGGACGACTCCAATAAAGATGTCTTCACTGCGGAGGTTTCCCAAAGCAGTAGAAGGCATGGGTATGGTACAGTCTGTGGATCGAAGGGTAACACTGGAAATCTGCCACTTGGATTATCTTCCTCAATTAAAAGGTGTCCAATATTGTTTGTTCTGACAGTTGGCTGAGTTAGAAGTCATTCAACAAGAAGAAGAAGGTGTCTAATAAATGTTGGGAGATGTCCTGATAAAGTCAGGAACCAGGAATTAGATGATCTTTGGATCAAGACAGCGAGGGATGAAGCTCGTAGTTGTAGTCACCAACCCAGAGGAGGAGGAAAGATTGCAGGAATTGGGACGTCTAAAGTTAGGCCATATGTTGTGCTCAATTAGGATGAGATTGATAATCACTAGGTATCATCTATTCCTAGATTGTGGACACATTGCAAGACTTTGTACCGCGATGGACAGATCGACTGCATGCTTCAGGTGCGAAGAAGTCGATCATAAGTTCGCAAACTGTAAAAGAAGCCCAAGCTACTTTGTAACAAAAAGTACTACTCCAAAAAAAGTTTTTAAATTTTTAGTCCTTCGTTATCAGAAGGTTTTTAATGTCCATTTGATTTATATATTTTTCATTTAATCTTTTAGTAAGATTAAAAATATTCTAGTCATGTGCTAATGATTCCATGACGAGTCTCCCTTGGTTCAGATTTCTAGCAAAGAGAATAGAAATTATAATCAAAACTAGTAGGTAACAATTTGTTCAGACCTACGCTACAGGTTATCTCCATTGTGTTCGAGAAATAGCAAGGTAATTCAAACCCTAAGATAAATATTATCCTGAGATTATTGGTTTCCGGAAACGACAAAATACCTCAGCTCATCAGATATTATTCTCTGTAAGTGACATTTTATCCTTTCTGCCCTACAATATCAGATAAAGTTTCAAAATTAGTTGGGAATGTTTTTGAATAACTTTGCTAACTTTCCCGTAACACATTCACGTTCATTGGAAAGCAGACCTGATAAATTTTACAACATATTAAGAAACTTCAGATTAATCAAAATCATTGACCTAAATCTAAAAAACGTTTGCCATGACCAAACCAAATTTGTTATAAAATTACCCACTGGAACTGCTTTCAGTAAAAACAATTATTCTCAAATACTTGAATAGTCATCAATTATGGTTTCTCTACACTTTAATTATGACACTTTTTAACGCTGTAATATTAATTAATTAATTCCAATTAACTGACTGGAATAATTAAGATATGTAAATGTATTAATCTTGTGGTTTGATTTACATACTTGAATCATAAAAGCCTGATGATACCGTAAAGTTAAAAAGTATTATAAATTCATGTTCTTTAAATATAATTCGTTTAATTTTAAATGTCTGTGTCAACGGGTGGAGAATTATTAAAAATTTCATGAACTAAAGAATGAAGAAGCGGTGAAAGCGTTAAATTGTGGTAGGCTATGCACGCAAGCGTAATTAAAAATTATTGTGCGATAAATATATATCTGTGTATTGAGGGTCAGTAGGGAGTTGGAGAGCTTGGTTTATCGATTGAAGCAGGTCACTAATATTACATCAACGTTTCATTACAGCAATACCGATGCAATAAGGCCTCCTG